ATTCTAGGTGACACATTCTAGGAGAGACACATTCTAGGAGACACATTCTAGGAGACATATTCTAGGAGAGACATTCTAGGAGACATATTCTAGGAGAGACATTCTAGGAGAGACACATTCTAGGAGACACATTCTAGGAGACACATTCTAGGAGAGACACATTCTAGGAGACACATTCTAGGAGACATATTCTAGGAGAGACATTCTAGGAGACATATTCTAGGAGACACATTCTAGGAGACATATTCTAGGAGAGACACATTCTAGGAGAGACACATTCTAGGAGCCAAAACAACTTGCTTTAAAATCAACTGGGGGTGGAACGTTGATGATTCTGTGCAACTTTCATAGGTACATAAATATATTATACTGTGACTTCACTGCATGTCGCCCATTTTTTGTTCTGTAATTACATTGCAACTCAACATAACAAGACCAGTTTACAACTTATATCACAACAAGGTGAGCTATGTAGTTCTCCAACAGCTCTCGTTTTGTACAAGCTGGTCCAAAGTCAAGACACCATTAAAAAGTCAGTATGTATTAATGCAGATTCAGATTTCATAGAGTGGAATCTTTTAATTCATTACAATTTTCATTTGTGATACAAAATCATGGACATTTATGTAACATGGGATGGTGTTCTATGATGATAATGCATAAATTGCATATATGTTGCATTTAAACTCAAATATCAACACAAATCATGGATGGAAAATCCTTAATAATAAGTTACCTATATTTTTAGCATAATTCCTATAAGTTTCCTATATTTTGAAGAAAACAATCCTATATTCCTACGATATATACAGGATAGGATGGGGATGTCAACACATTAACACAACACGTTTTTGTGGTTAGAAACAAAACACATCACATACATTTATTTTTAATACAAGTTCATTTCTATTTAATTTATTGATTTAAATTTAATTATGTTTGATCAGTATATTCATCATACAATGTTTCTGTAGTGTCCCGGTCCATCACTTGTTTCTCATTTTGAGTTTCCATGGCAACAAACTGACGATTTCCATTTTCTGGAGATAAGACATCATAGAGGCTATGTGCACTGGTAGAGCCAGGTAAACAGGGGCGATCGTCAATGTTACAGAAATTACCGTCTCTATGGAGGGCCTGACCCCAGTGATGGGGAGGGTCCATTATACTTATATCAGATAGTAAGTCATCTTTTCCTTCGGCATACAATGAAGCAGTCAAGTCTGTATTGAGATCGGGAACATTTATAGACAAGTTTGACACAGATGAGTCTGCATCATCACAAAGTCCTGTAAAAACATTTTGCTCAACAGAATTTTCCTCAGTTTTACTATTTAGGTGTGAAGATTTTCTTTCATTGTCATTGGATGCTGAGAGAGTATTTTCAGTGACTGGAGTTTCAGCCGTGGCTTTGTTGTGGAGACTTCTCCAGCCCCCTGTGTCATTGGTTGGGAGTGGTTTGGGGGACACAGAACAGAAACTACCGAACTCCTCGCTTCCTTGGGACCGAGAATCTAACGATGAGGATAAACCCCTCACAGACCCTTCCTGGTTCTCCATTCCAGAATTCTGTTTATTCTGTAACGAATGAGTTAAAGTTAATTTATTTTTTTAACAAATGAATATATATTTGATTCAATACAAAACTCCATTATTATGAAATATATCTCAAAATATATTTCTATTTCATGTTTTTCATTATATGAAAATAGATATATTTTACATACAATTTAAATGCAAATATTACAGCGACATTATCAAGAGCCACACAGATAGAAATCCACTAGTTATGAATCCTGTTAGTTCTGTGTTAAACAAAACATACCCTACTCCTCGTTTCTTTATACCTGCCAACATTTGTTAGATTTCAGAGTTATCAGATGGAATAGTAGCTGGATCCCCTGCTCTCACAGTGGCGTTAAGAAACAAGTGATTAACTTATAGTAATCACTATTGTTGGCTGAGAACACATGTACAGGCAATCTTACAATGACAGAGACCAGAGTAACATGTTTAGTGAGTACGGGTTTGGTTTATTTAGTTTAATGTCCGATTACACATGCGGTAAGTAAGGGAGACTTCAAACAAACACGATTGATCGTCAAGTGTCTACAGCTTACTGTGATTACACTCAACAGTTACAGGAGACTTCAAACAAACCCTATTGATCGTCATCAAGTGTCTACAGCTTACTGTGATTCCACTCAACAGTTACAGGAGACTTCAAACAAACCCTATTGATCGTCAAGTGTCTACAGCTTACTGTGATTCCACTTAACAGTTACAGAAGACTTCAAACAAACCCTATTGATCGTCAAGTATCTACAGCTTACTGTGATTCCACTAAACAGTCACAGGAGACTTCAAACAAACCCTATTGATTGTCATCAAGTATCTACAGCTTTCTGTGATTCCACTAAACAGTTACAGGAGACTTCAAACAAACCCTATTGATTGTCATCAAGTATCTACAGCTTACTGTGATTCCACTAAACAGTTACAGGAGACTTCAAACAAATCCTATTGATCATCAAGTATCTACAGCTTACTGTGATTCCACTAAACAGAGCTGAGGCTAGTTCTAATTTTTTGGCTTTGTCATCCTCCATCTCATTCTCCAGACCTCCGAGGGTGCCTGGGATATCCTGGTTGTCTCCCCTTTGATGACTCAATGACCTTGCCATTGCCGTGTCTGACTGGGGGTCAGATATCAGACCCTTTCTGCCCCACACACGTTTCACCCCTACCATGTTGAGTCCAGTCTCCCTGTATCAACAGTAATTTATACTCAGTGAGTACACGGAACCCTTCAATCAGTCAATAGGCGTTATCTATTATTATTTTTTGTAAGTTTCTCATCAACAAGAACAGGCAGCCACTGATAACACAGTTAACTGGACGGCTATAAACAGAATACAGTTGTCTGCAGGGTAATAAATACATTTTAAGAAAATGCATCACAGGTTACTAAGAACTGATCTATGAAAAAGCTCATTTTATATCAATATTAATTGTTGAACTAAAATTATGTTGTTTTCAATACTTTATGGCATTTTCTGTTGGAGAGATCAATCATCATAATAAAACAATGGTAGCAATGATGGTTTATCATTGACTGACACATTGTTTAAAAACGATCCTCAAATAGGGTTGTGTCAGGTGTAGTGTTCAAAAATAAAGTTGTGTCAGGTAATAATAATAAACTTTATTTATTGAGGACTGAAAAAACATGATTAAAAAAAACTGATTTAGCCGTCCTCTATATTAGTAAAATGTGCTAGTTTTACATAGTATTTCTGAAAATATAGTAATATAAATTAAACATAAATGACATCTAAAATATGAGTTATGAGATTGCTGAAAATATAACATGCAATTATATAGTACAATACATCAAATATCACAGAAAGCATAAATCTCATGCTTCAGGTCTGATAATAGTTAAATGGCCGGAGCCTTACATACATATATGCTAATATAGCAAAGTATAAAAATTACCAGGATATACGCTAATATAGCATAAATTAAAAACTGTTTTCTTTATCTAAAAGTATGAATCACAGTAGTGGTTTATAGCTCTATGCTTAAAAGTGTTAAAAGATGGTGATGACCTTACATCAATTGGAAGTGCATTCAAAGTCTTACAACTTGATAAAACAAAGTGACTAGAATAGAACATGTCCTAAAATTAGGAATGTACAACCTATTCTGTTCAGCCCGTCGTGTAGCTCTGGAGTGGACACTGTTTACATGTTTAAAACAAGAACATAAATATTCAGGAGCAAGTCCATGTACACATTCAAAGGTCATTACAGTCTTTCTATAATTTATATACAATTTGATAGGCATCCATTTCAACACAGAAAACATTTCTTTTGAAGGAGTTTCAAATGGAACATCTAAAATTAGGCGTCAGGTAGTGTTCAAAATTAGAGTTGTGTCAGGTAGTGTTCAAAATTAGAATTGTGTCAGGTAGTGTTCAAAAATAGAATTGTGTCAGGTAGTGTTCAAAATTAGAGTTGTGTCAGGTAGTGTTCAAAATTAGAGTTGTGTCAGGTAGAGGTCAAAATTAGAGTTGTGTCCTCAGGAAGTGTTCAAAATTAGAGTTGAGTCCTCAGGTAGTGTTCAAAATTAAAGTTGGGTCCTCTGGTAGGGTTCAACATTAGAGTTGTGTCAGGTAGTGTTAACACATAGAGTTGTGTCAGGTAGTGGTCAAAATTAGAGTTGTGTCCTCAGGAAGTGTTCAAAATTAGAGTTGTGTCCTCTGGTAGTGTTCAAAATTAGAGGTGTGTCCTCAGGTAGTGTTCAAAATTAAAGTTGGGTCCTCTGGTAGGGTTCAACATTAGAGTTGTGTCAGGTAGTGTTCAAAATTAGAGTTGTGTCAGGTAGGTCACAGATTCACTGGTAAATAGTCTAGCGTACCTGGAGCTATTTACAAACTTCAATGGTAACACAGCGTCAATAGCACATGTTTGATGAATCATGTTTTCTTGCATCAGAATAACAAATTTCAGCATAACAATAAAAACAAAAAAAATCAAAGTGAAGAAAATGTCTTGTTTTCTTTTTGTCCTGAAATTTGATAAAAGCGCAGTGGGCAGCCATCTTAGATTGCTATTATAGGCTGAAATTGTTACTCTTCCAAAAGTTATGTAGGCGGCAAATGTAGACTTGTTCAAGAGAAAAGTTCTATAGGTCTTTGAACAGAGTGGAGCTCAATGCAAATACTGACCTTTGACCTCCAGATAGGTCACTGCCTCCCTCTGATCCTCCAGTGAGTTTCCCAGACACACTTGACCCCTGGGACATGGTTTCCTTGGTAAGGCCCTCTGTGTTGTCCTTGGTTACACCATTCAGTCCGCAGAATAAGTCTGGGTATATCAATAGTAGTTGAAATAAAAAATAAATCACAATCTTACAACTGTCAGAGCTACTTAGAATGGGTACCAACAAGTAGCAATACTTTGGACAGAAGTAGCAATGCTTTGGACAGAAGTAGCAATACTTTGGACAGAAGTAGCAATGCTCTGGACAAAAATCCTTATACTCAGATATCAGAAAAGGGATGCATCTCCAAATTAATCATGAAACTAACAAGAGATACTAGAAAGATCTTGGCTCCCACTATAGTACCATCTTAATTAGTTCTAAGTAAGTTAAATTTGATCTTTTCCCTTCTTTTCTCTTATCTGTTTGATCAAGTCATATAAACAGTGAATACACCTTGAGGTAACTTTTGATCTAAACTTCATACATCTGTGTATAAAAGCCAACCTTCAAAGTGAGTTTGTCATTTCACATATTTACTAGTACAATAATTAATGTGAAAGAAATAGAATCGATCATTGCAATATGAGAATGATCCATTAAGTACTTCCTGTGGCCATCTTGTTTTTAGAATTGCTCCTAAAATACATCAAATATCACAGAACGCATAACTCTCATGCTTAAGGTCTGATAATAGTTAAATGGCCGGAGCCTGACATACATATATGCTAATATAGCAAAGTATAAAAATTACCAGGATATACGCTAATATAGCATAAATTAAAAACTGTTTTCTTTATCTGAAAGTATGAATCACAGTAGTACTTTATAGCTCTATGCTTAAAAGTGTTAAAAGATGGTGATGACCAAGGAAACCTGCTTATCAAATTTGAAAAAGATCCCTCCTAGTACTTCTTGAGAAATAGTGATAACAGGAATTGTTTAAGGACGGACAACAGATGACGGACAGACAGGCGGATGATGGTGGGCTAAAAAAACCCTGTAAACACAGAACTACATAATAAGGTGCCAATGTGCACAAAAACTTCTTAAAAATCAGTTGATAAGTTAAGCATAGGCGCTTCAGTCAAAATTCCACCTACGGACAGACAGAGACAGGGGGACACCATGATTCAAGCATACCCCTAATTTTACTGCAAAGGGGGAGTTATGGATTTTATTGGTAAAAGGAAATGTAGGAACCTGAGTCTGGCTGGTGAGGCTGGAACCGCAGTGTCTTAGCTTTGTACGGCTGGGCTCCTTTTGTTAGGGACTGGCTAACATAGTCATCCAGGAAACTTAATGTGAAGTCCATCTAAATAAAAACAAACCTGATAAATTTAACCTTGATCTTTTCTTAATAACAAATGATTTAACATAAATTTCTCAAATTTCTGTTATCCATTTTAATGTTCATCAAGAGAAAGGTTTTAGTGATATGTTTTAATACATTTAACAACATTTTCATTCATATTAATTCTGTAAAATGAAAAAGAAATTCTGCAAAATATTTCATTTTTGTGAGATTGAATTTTTTTTAACCTTTTCACAAATTTAAATCATCTGTTAGTATTATATCCATAGATAATTAAAACTATTAACATTGGAAAAACAATTGTCTTAATGAATGCAAGTATCAACACACTAGAATTTGTATCCACATGCCACCTATATTCCCAATCCGATATAAAACCGACAGCTGCCAGGAGCTGCATATCCTCATGTCCTGTACATACCTGGTCCAGTTGTTTGATGTGACTAGAAGGTTGTCCTGTACATACCTGGTGCAGTTGTTTGGTGTGACTAAAAGGTTGTCCTATAGATATCTGGTCCAGTTGTTTGGTGTGACTAGAAGCTTGTCCTATAGATATCTGGTCCAGTTGTTTGGTGTGACTAGAAGGTTGTCTTGTACATACCTGGTCCAGTTGTTTGGTGTGACTAGAAGCTTGTCCTGTACATACCTGGTCCAGTTGTGATGTGACTAGAAGGTTGTCCTATACATACCTGGTCCAGTTGTTTGGTGTGACTAGAAGACATGGTTGGCAGAAGTAGGTTTATCTGGCTCTCGGCTATGTTCAAAGTGTCTGTCAGTTTCTGTAAAAAGTAAAGGAAACTCTTCACACACACATGACTGAGTAAAATAAATCACCGGACAAAATATTGTGAGGCACTCCATAGTCCCCACCAGTAATGGCCAACTAGGGATTTAATGATATTGGGCTGCAAAACTTGGGCTATTTTTTCCAACATTTTCTCATCCTCAATATATATTCCACCATAATACATACACATACATTGATTATTTTATTACATTTTATGACATGTTCATAGTTTTCAAAAGCACTTTAAATCTGATAACTTCATAAAAGTCTAAAGATGTGATTTTATTTCTTCATTTATCTATTAATGTGTTGAATGTGACACAAACAAAATTTATAAATCTTAGATGATTTTTTTCAAAAACAAATCTCACCCTTTGGAACGTCTGTTTCACTCTTTCTTCACCTTCCCACTCCCAGCTTATAATTACACTGATCTTACCTGTCTAACCACAGAATCCTTCTCCTCCTCCCTCCCAGCTTATTATTACACTGATCTTACCTGTCTGACCACAGAACCCTTCTCTTCCTCCCTCCCAGCTCATTATTACACTGATCTTACCTGTCTGACCACAGAATCCTTCTTCTCCTCCCTCCCAGGTTATAATTACACTGATCTTACCTGTCTGACCACAGAATCCTTCTCCTCCTCCCTCCCAGCATATTATTACACTGATCTTACCTGTCTGACCACAGAATCCTTTTCCTCCTCCTTCCCAGCTTATAATTACACTGATCTTACCTGTCTGACCACAGAATCCTTTTCCTCCTCCTTCCCAGCTCATAATTACACTGATCTTACCTGTCTGACCACAAAATCCTTCTCCTCCTCCCTCCCAGGTTATAATTACACTAATCTTACCTGTCTGACCACAGAATCCTTCTCCTCCTCCCTCCCAGCGTATTATTACACTGATCTTACCTGTCTGACCACAGAATCCTTTTCCTCCTCCTTCCCAGCTTATAATTACACTGATCTTACCTGTCTGACCACAAAATCCTTCTCCTCCTCCCCCCCAGGTTATAATTACACTGATCTAACCTGTCTGACCACAAAAGCCTTCTCCTCCTCCCTCCCCCCTTATAATTACACTGATCTAACCTGTCTGACCACAAAAAAATTCTCCTCCTCCCTCCCAGGTTATAATTGCACTGATCTTACCTGTCTGACCACAGAATCCTTCTCCTCCTCCCTCGCCTCCGCCAGCCTCCTAGTGACAACATCTCTGTCCAACACTTTGGCGCAGACAAGTTTTGTCAATGATGATGTCATCCACAGTTTGGTGGTGACATCTAGTGTCTGTTTTTGGAAGTGTTTCAAAACAAGGGTGATCACTTTTTCGCTTGGCATATTCTTTAAAAGATTACCACACTCTCCCAAAACCTGAAATGGACAACAAAGATACAAAAATCCTAAAAACACATTTTTGTTCGGTATTGCATATCTAAAGAATATATAATATGCTATCATTTCTTATCCTGAAATTTGCAGCATCAACTTAAACCAAAATTAACAAATGGATGTTTTTATGATTTTTACAAATTGAATGTAATATCAATAGACAGTGTACTTATACAAGAGGCCCAGAGGGCCTGTATCGCTCACCTGGATATCTAAGCAATCATGGCAAAATATTCTCCAAATGAGATCCAAGGGAATATGCCAGACCTCAAGGCCAATCCTTGTAGCATATCTGTATTTGATATTTTATGCCCAGCAATTTTATGTAAGGTTATGGGGTGGGGATCTCAACTGTTTCCAAGCTGTGACTCAGAAACTAGGTCCCTAGGGTTGTGGCCAGACCCCAGGATAAATTATAAGATCATGACTGCATTTGTCTCTTTTTGCCCAGCATTTGTATATATAGTTTTGGGGTGGGGCTCTTAACCGTTTCAAATTTATGACCCAGGGGTTAAGTCTCCAAGGGTGGGGCCATCCTGGAAGCAAATGTGCATTCCTCTCGTTATAATCAGCAATTGTATATATGGTTATATGGTGGGGATCTCAAACATTTCCAAGTAAAAAAAAATAATTGGCCCCACCCCTTAGCCCAGGGGGTCAGCCCCACCATTTATACAATTTTAAATCCCTGCCTCCCATGAATGCTTCCGACCAAATATGATCAATATCCATGGTCTAGTTTTACGGAAGAAGTCGTTTATAGCAATATAGCCAAATTGCCCTTTTTTGGCCCGGCCCTCAGCCCCCTGGGGGTCAGCCCCACCATTTGTACAATTTTGAATCCCTGCCTCCCATGAATGCTTTTGATTAAATATGATTGATATCCAGTGCATAGTTCTACAGAAGAAGTCGTTTGTAGCAATATAGTCAAAATGCCCCCTTTTGGCCCCGCCCCTCAGCCCCCTGGGTGGTCAGCCCAACCATTTGTACAATTTTGAGACCACAACACCTAGGGATGCTTCCACTTAAATATGGTTGATATCCATCTTTTAGTTCCAGAGAAGATGTCGCTTAAAGCAATATAGCCAAATTGCCCCCTTATTGCCCCGCCCCTCAGCCCCCTGGGGGGTCAGCCCAACCATTTGTACAATTTTGAGACCACAACACCTAGGGATGCTTCCACTTAAATATGGTTGATATCCATCTTTTAGTTCCAGAGAAGATGTCGCTTAAAGCAATATAGCCAAATTGCCCCCTTATTGCCCCGCCCCTCAGCCCCCTGGGGGGGCTGGCCCAATCATTTGTACAATTTTGAATCCCCACCACCTAGGGATGCTTCCAGTCAAATTTAGTTAAATTCCAATAAGTGGTTAAGAAGAAGAAGTCGTTTAAAGAAATTGTTGACGGACGGACGACGGACGGACGACGGACGACGGACCGATGGACGACGGACGCCACGGTATGGCATAAGCTCACCTTGGTCCTTTGGACCCTGTGAGCTAATAATTAACGGGTCATGGTGATTGTTTTAAGTCATCAGGACATACAAATCATTACAGAGTTAGTCCGTACCCAGGCAGAGACCAGGAGGAGTTGTGGTGAGACACTGTCCTGGAACAGAGTCCCTATACGTACCCAGACTGATACCAGGAGGAGTTGCGGTAAGACGCTGTCCTGGAACAGAGTCCCTATACGTACCCAGACTGATACCAGGAGGAGTTGCGGTGAGACACTGTCCTGGAACAGAGTCCCTATACGTACCCAGACTGATACCAGGAGGAGTTGCGGTGAGACACTGTCCTGGAACAGAGTCCCTATACGTACCCAGACTGATACCAGGAGGAGTTGCGGTGAGACACTGTCCTGGAACAGAGTCCCTATACGTACCCAGACTGATACCAGGAGGAGTTGCGGTGAGACACTGTCCTGGAACAGAGTCCCTATATGTACCCAGACTGATACCAGGAGGAGTTGCGGTGAGACACTGTCCTGGAACAGAGTCCCTATACGTACCCAGACTGATACCAGGAGGAGTTGCGGTGAGACACTGTCCTGGAACAGAGTCCCTATATGTACCCAGACTGATACCAGGAGGAGTTGCAGTGAGACACTGTCCTGGAACAGAGCCCCTATACGTACCCAGACTGATACCAGGAGGAGTTGCGGTGAGACACTGTCCTGGAACAGAGTCCCTATATGTACCCAGACTGATACCAGGAGGAGTTGCAGTGAGACACTGTCCTGGAACAGAGCCCCTATACGTACCCAGACTGATACCAGGAGGAGTTGCGATGAGACACTGTCCTGGAACAGAGCCCCTATACGTACCCAGACTGATACCAGGAGGAGTTGCGGTGAGACACTGTCCTGGAACAGAGTCCCTATATGTACCCAGACTGATACCAGGAGGAGTTGCGGTGAGACACTGTCCTGGAACAGAGTCCCTATACGTACCCAAACTGATACCAGGAGGAGTTGCGGTGAGACGCTGTCCTGGAACAGAGCCCCGAGAGACTTTTTGAGGAGATATTGCTGGAAACCTTTGGATTCTGGAGACTTGTCACCATTTTTGTCTGTTTCACATCCTGAAACACAAACATTCCAAATGTTATAGCCAAGTAAGACATTTCCCATATTTATGTTTAACCTTTCATAATCAGGGCCATATTGTAAACTAGACATTGTCTAAATATGTAACCCTGGATAAATAAAAGATATTATTATTATTATCTGCTTAATGAACCTTTCAACCAATTTACAGTTTTTCTTTTGTATTTTAACAGCTGATATATACATTCACCGTACACATATACACTTAAACATGTCACAAGAAAGTTGAAAACAGAAAAACTAATTCCAGATACATTTTATTTCATTTTTAACTGCTCTACTGACCTTGACAGTGACCTATCTCAATGACACAGACTCTACTGGTCATCATGTTTAACTAATTAACCCAGCAAAGCTTACAGTTACCTTTCTCAATGACACAGACTCTACTGGTCATCATGTTTAACTAATTAACCCACACAGCTTACACTTACCTTTCTCAATGACACAGACTCTACTGGTCATCATGTTTAACTAATTAACCCACACAGCTTACACTCACCTTTCTCAATGACACAGACTCTACTGGTCATCATGTTTAACTAATTAACCCACACAGCTTACACTCACCTTTCTCAATAACCCAGACTCTACTGGTCATCATGTTTAACTAATTAACCCACACAGCTTACACTCACCTTTCTCAATGACACAGGCTCTACTGGTCATCATGTTTAACTAATTAACCCATCACAGCTTACACTCACCTTTCTCAATGACACAGGCTCTACTGGTCATCATGTTTAACTAATTAACCCATCAAAGCTTACACTCACTTTTCTCAATGACACAGACTCTACTGGTCATCATGTTTAACTAATTAACCCAGCAAAGCTTACACTTACCTTTCTCAATGATACAGACTCTACTGGTCATCATGTTTAACTAATTAACCCATCAAAGCTTACACTCTCCTTTCTCAATGACACAGGCTCTACTGGTCATCATGTTTAACTAATTAACCCAGCAAAGCTTACCCTTACCTTTCTCAATGATACAGACTCTACTGGTCATCATGTTTAACTAATTAACCCATGAAAGCTTACACTCACTTTTCTCAATGACACAGACTCTACTGGTCATCATGTTTAATTAATTAACCCACACAGCTTACACTCACCTTTCTCAATGACACAGCCTCTACTGGTCATCATGTTTAACTAATTAACCCACACAGCTTACACTCACCTTTCTCAATGACGTAGACGACCTTGTTGAGGAGTTCTCTAGGGAGCGTTACTTTACACGAGGACAGAAGCTTGAACACCGTGTCCACATACCACTGGTAGGAACTAGAAAAGCTGCATTAGTCAAGGATGGCTATAATTATAAGGTGTTTTCTTTTATTGCCTAATGACTTTTTATTAAAAACCTGTTTATGGAGGGGTTTCAAATAACAAATCAGGAATCAAATGGGACAACAGAATTTGAGGAAACAAGGAAATGTCTATAAGGGACAGTTATTTTCCACCATGTGAAATATTAATTTCATAGGAATAAACCCAAAAACAAGAAACAGCCAACGGTGATATTGCCAGATTGCTACACTACATTTTCATGTAAAGCATCACATGTGATAAGCATCCTTAGATACATCAGTCATCAAAGGTAAGTTGATGACAGACAGACAGACAGACAGACAGACAGACAGGAATCGCCAATCTATAACCCCTGATTGCGTTGCAATAAATGGCTAGAGCAATTGCAAGAGTTATATGTTTATAGTAACTAAGATCTTGACCTTTGGTGTAAACACAGAATACTTACCAACATACTAGATTTTCTATTTATAGCAATGGTGACCTTGACCTTGCATTAAAATGCTGAAAGTCTTGGTACTCTGAATATAAGGTTTTACGGCAATCTGTTGACAAGTGAAGATATTATTAAGAACACATCAGAGCTCTAAGATTTCTCTTTGTATTTATAGTAACCATGATCTAAGCTTGACCATGGATGGAAAATACCCAAATAAAACTCATTCTTCAATCTGTCTTGGTATTTAACATCTGTGCGAGGTTTCATGGAAACTCGACCAAAAGTGAAGGTGTTAGAGAGATGATATCAGTTCACAATGGATGTTTCGATGTATAGACAGCTAGATGGAGGAGGGCAAAACTGTCTGCTGACAGAAAATATCCCAAATGTTAAAAATATTTCAAAGACTCAACTGATTTCACCTTCACACATGTAATGGATGGGAAATTGTATGTATTTAACAGGAAACTTAAAACAAGTTTAATACAACTAAATGTTCACAATCTTTGGAAACTGGCAAAATTATTTTAATAACTTTGACCTAACAATTGATCTTTAAATGATGTAATTTAAGGTGTAACACTTTAAATGATGTAATTTAAGGTGTAACACTTTAAATGATGTAATTTAAGGTGTAACACTTTAAATGATGTAATTTAAGGTGTAACACTTTAAATGATGTAATTTAAGGTGTAACACTTTAAATGATGTAATTTAAGGTGTAACACTTTAAATGATGTAATTTAAGGTGTAACACTTTAAATGATGTAATTTAAGGTGTAACACTTTAAATGATGTAATTTAAGGTGTAACACTTTAAATGATGTAATTTAAGGTGTAACACTTTAAATGATGTAATTTAAGGTGTAACACTTTAAATGATGTAATTTAAGGTGTAACACTTTAAATGATGTAATTTAAGGTGTAACACTTTAAATGATGTAATTTAAGGTGTAACACTTTAAAGTAATCAGCTGGCCTTCCTTTACAACCATCAGCTGACCTCTTACTAATTATTTTTTTTGTCAACAAACAATTTGACATAAATTTGACTAGAGGATTTGCGATGACCTTAACCAGGGAATTTTTTATGACCTTAACATGAAGAATTTTGATGATCTTGATGTAAGGATACTTGTCTGCCAGATGGATGACCTTGGTAGCAAGGTCAAGCTGCAGGAAGGTGTTGGTGGTGTTGTTACTGAGGTGGCGTAACAGTCTATCACACACAACCTGTACATTACTGGGGTTAGCCATACAGTACAGCAGGTCCAGGGTCTGAAACATACAACATGGTGTAACAGGGGATCACACACAACCTGTACATTACTGGGGTTAGTCATACAGTACAGCAGGTCCAGGGTCTGAAACATACAACATGGTGTAACAGTCTATCACAAACAACCTGTACATTACTGGGGTTAGCCGTACAGTACAGCAGGTCCAGGGTCTGAAACATCCAACATGGTGTAACAGTCTATCACACACACCCTGTACATTACTGGGGTTAGCCATACAGTACAGCAGGTCCAGGGTCTGAAACAAATCATTCAAAAGCTTAACAACAAACTAAATCATTTAACATTAGGAATTAGTTTTTTGAGTCTGGTATGAATGATAAAGGCTAAGATGACTTTGAACATAAAGTGGAATTGAAAACTTATTTTGCGAACTTTCAAACCCATCTGTTTTCTTTGTCAAGCAAAGCTTAGTGGGGGACGGGTAACATGTTTACCCATTCTGTCCTTTAGCGGGGGGAGGGGTAACATGTTTACCCATACTGCGCCTTAGTGGGGGACGGGTAACATGTTTACCAATCTGCCCCTTAGTGGGGGTATGGGTAACATGTTTACCCATTCTGCCCTTAACGGGGGGACGGGTAACATGTTTACCAATCTGCCCCTTAGTGGGGGGATGGGTAACATGTTTACCTATTCTGCCCCTTAGCGGGGGACGGGTAACATGTTTACCCATTCTGCCCCTTAGCGGGAGGACGGGAAACATGTTTACCCATTCTGCCCTTAGCGGGGGGACGGGAAACATGTTTACCCATTCTGCCCTTAGTGGGGGGACGGGAAACATGTTTACTCATTCTGCCCTTAGCGGGGGGACGGGTAACATTTTTACCTATCTGCCCCTTAGTGGGGGGATGGGTAACATGTTTACCCATTCTGCCCCTTAGCAGGGGGACGGGAAACATGTTTACCCATTCTGCCCTTAGCGGGGGGACGGGAAACATGTTTACTCATTCTGCCCTTAGCGGGGGGACGGGTAACATTTTGACCTATCTGCTCCTTAGTGGGGAGACGGGTAACATGTTTACCCATTCTGCCCTTAGCAGGGGGACGGGTAACATGTTTACCCATTCTGCCCTCTAGCGGGGGGACGGGTAACATGTTTACCCATTCTGCCCCTTAGCTGGGGGACGGGTAACATGTTTACCCATTCTGCCCCTTAGCAGGGGGAGGGGTAATATGTTTACCCATTCTGCCCTTTAGCGGGGGGACGGGTAACATGTTTACCCATTCTGCCCCTTAGCGGGGGGACGGGTAACATGTTTACCCATTCTGCCCCTTAGTGGATGTTAACAGCCATTGAACAGTTAAACAAAATTATTCGCCATCTTGTGCGGTTCAGATCAATAGACAAGGAATACATGGTATTCGACAAATCCGAGGTTCGTCCGACGTAGTCCTTGTTCTATCAGGTGGGAGGACATACAGAATGAGCACTGCACATATCGATGATAGTACTTTACTCCTTTAATTATGTGATGTTCAGCTGACACCTGTGTGGACCACAGTCTGTCCCTCGAGGCATGTTGATGGGTGGTTTGGAATATATCAGAGTTCGAGGAATAGGGGGTATCTGAGTAATGTGAGTTTGAGTAAGTGGAGTTTCCCTGTACTACAGGTATATAATGGGCGGATTGTTCGAGTGGTTAACACTCCGGCGGCCAGAGTTCAATCCCTGAAGTCGTCATACGCATGGAATATTCAGAGGAAGTGTTTTTCTCCTGCCCACACAACTCCAACAACCCAGGTGCTTGTCTAAGGAACAGCAACCTTCAAAGGAGGCTCAGTGATATACAATGTTTCAACTATGACATCATAATGATGTCCACGTCTGGACTGGATGTTGGGGTATCTGTGCTGCTGTAGCATTAAAGTAAGGTGGCACTGTAAATGATGCCGTTGGAAGCACAGTCTCACTACAAACAGAACACAATACATCACACACACACGCAGGCATACACACAAAGGGAGATATTAGCCAGGTGACATAGGACTAGTAGTTAGTGCCTGATAAAGCAGCTCCTGCGCATTCCTCAAAAACATTGTATTGATTAATGTAGTTGCTAACTGTATTAATTGTATATCTATGTACTGTACAGCGCTTTAAAGGGGCTCATTCTAGCTAGATAGGGCGCCAAATCAAATGTTTTATAGATCATTATCATATAATGATCCCACAGTCCTTATGCTAAACAATGTAAATGTGTTCTTGAGTGTATTAGTGGGTGAATTTGCTAGAGCTCTTTATAACTAATAAAACATATTGAATAAAAAGGTATTCAACACTCTGTTTTTATTCCATTTCTTTTACAACATTTTAACAAAAATAATCCATTAAACATTTCTATTACGAAATCAATATTATAAGACATCAGTCATTTGTTTAAAACTGTCTATTACTTACAGAAACTAAAATCTTGATGAGAAAAGCACATTCAGCTGGAAGCATCATTTGAAAAACACTAGCCAGAAACACTGGCATAGAAAACCAAGTTCCAATGTACGATTTAAACTCATACCTTACGCTGAATTGCCTGATCTTTATCATCCAGGAGCTCGACTACGGTCATCTGATGTTCCAAGGCCGATTCTGGACAACTCTTGACCAGGGCAGTCAATGCCTTGATACCTGTATATAGAAAACACGTTTTACCTCACACTTCCCAAAGACATTTCCAAGAATTGATTTGTTACCTTATAGCTACAAGAACAATTTGTCTGTGCCTCAGACTTTAGGTAAAGAACAGGATAGAAACGGTTCACAACTATTTAATAGTAACACACCATCTGAAGCAATGAGCAAAATTTTAATAAAAAAAACAACATATTCACCCACAATGAACAACAATAGCAAATTCAAATAATACATTTTATTTTTTTATTGAGAATTAAAACCTGATTTAGCCAAAGGCTAATCTCACTGAGGGTCACATTAACGAATATTTGTACATAAAGTAGAGTTAGTAAATTGAAAGAAACTTAAAATATGATTAGAGTTATTTAGTAAAGAGCTGTGAGTCTGACTTTGTGAGATATTAAGTGATAGTGTAAACCAGAAACTTCAACATAAAGATGATACATCCTCTAGTAAATCAACATTCCTGTTTCAGTCTATTACTATCCAATTTTACCTATGTACTTCAGGCTAGGGTTTGTGGATCCTATAAAGCGACTGACACACGTGGTTGCCTCCCTTTGCAGTTCCTCATTGGGGTAGATAGTGGTGATGGTGACAATACACTCGTACAGGATAGCTGTCACAGAAAATGTTCAACGATTATCAACAATACACTCGTACAGGATAGCTGTCACAGAAGATGTTCAACGATTATCAACAATACACTCGTACAGGATAGCTGCCACAGAAAATGTTCAACGATTATCAACAATACACTCGTACAGGATAGCTGTCACAGCAGATGTTCAATGATTACCAACAATACACTCGTAGAGGATAGCTGTCACAGAAGATGTTCAATGATTACCAACAATACACTGATACAGGATAGCTGTCACAGAAGATGTTCAATGATTACCAACAATACACTCGTACATGATAGCTGTCACAGAAGATGTTCAACAATACACTGGTACAGGATAGCTGTCACAGAAGAGGTTCAACGATTACCAACAATACACTCGTACAGGATAGCTGTCACAGCAGATGTTCAATGATTACCAACAATACACTCGTAGAGGATAGCTGTCACAGAAGATGTTCAATGATCACCAACAATACACTCGTACAGGATAGCTGTCACAGCAGATGTTCAATGATTACCAACAATACACTCGTAGAGGATAGCTGTCACAGAAGATGTTCAACGATTCCCAACAATACACTCGTACAGGATAGCTGTCACAGCAGATGTTCAATGATTACCAACAATACACTCGTAGAGGATAGCTGTCACAGAAGATGTTCAACGATTCCCAACAATACACTCGTACAGGATAGCTGTCACAGCAGATGTTCAATGATTACCAACAATACACTCGTAGAGGATAGCTGTCACAGAAGATGTTCAACGATTACCAACAATACACTTGTACAGGATAGCTGTCACAGAAGATGTTCAACGATTATCAACAATACACTCATACAGGATAGCTGTCACAGAAGATGTTCAACGAATACCAACAATACACTCGTACAGGATAGCTGTCATAGAAGATGTTCAACGATTACCAACAATACACCTGTACGGGATAGCTGTCACAGAAGATGTTCAACGATTACAAACAATACACTCATACAGGATAGCTGTCACAGAAGATGTTCAACTATTACCAACAATACACTCATACAGGATAGCTCTCGCAGAAGATGTTCAATGATTACCAACAATACACTCATACAGGATAGCTCTCGCAGAAGATGTTCAATGATTACCAACAATACACTCGTAGAGGATAGCTGTCACAGAAGATGTTCAATGATTACCAACAATACACTCATACAGGATAGCTGTCTCAGAAGATGTTCAACGATTACCAACAATACACTCCTACAGGATAGCTGTCACAGAAGATGTTCAACTATTACCAACAATACACTCATACAGGATAGCTCTCACAGAAGATGTTCAATGATTACCAACAATACCCTCGTACAGGATAGCTGTCACAGAAGATGTTCAACTATTACCAACAATACACTCATACAGGATAGCTCTCACAGAAGATGTTCAATGATTACCAACAATACACTCCTACAGGATAGCTGTCACAGAAGATGTTCAACGATTATCAACAATACACTCATACAGGATAGCTGTCACGGAAGATGTTCAACGATTACCAACAATACACTGGTACAGGATAGCTGTCACATAAGATGTTCAATGATCACCAACAATACACTCGTACAGGATAGCTGTCATAGAAGATGTTCAACGATTACCAACAATACACCTGTACGGGATAGCTGTCACAGAAGATGTTCAACGATTTCCAACAATACACTCGTACAGGATAGCTGTCATAGAAGATGTTCAACGATTATCAACAATACACTCATACAGGATAGCTGTCACGGAAGATGTTCAACGATTACCAACAATACACTCATACAGGATAGCTCTCGCAGAAGATGTTCAATGATTACCAACAATACACTCGTAGAGGATAGCTGTCACAGAAGATGTTCAATGATCACCAACAATTCACTCGTACAGGATAGCTGTCACAGAAGATGCTCAACGATTACCACCAATACACTTGTACAGGATAGCTGTCACAGAGGATGTTCAACGATTATCAACAATACACTCATACAGGATAGCTGTCACGGAAGATGTTCAACGATTACCAACAATACACTCCTACAGGATAGCTGTCACAGAAGATGTTCAACTATTACCAACAATACACTCATACAGGATAGCTCTCACAGAAGATGTTCAATGATTACCAACAATACACTCGTAGAGGATAGCTGTCACAGAAGATGTTCAACGATTATCAACAATACACTCATACAGGATAGCTGTCACGGAAGATGTTCAACGATTACCAACAATACACTTGTACAGGATAGCTGTCACAGAGGATGTTCAACGATTATCAACAATACACTCATACAGGATCGCTGTCACAGAAGATGTTCAATGATTACCAACAATACACTCGTAGAGGATAGCTGTCACAGAAGATGTTCAACGATTTCCAACAATACACTCGTACAGGATAGCTGTCATAGAAGATGTTCAACGATTACCAACAATACACTCATACAGGATAGCTGTCACGGAAGATGTTCAACGATTACCAACAATACACTCATACAGGATAGCTCTCACAGAAGATGTTCAATGATTACCAACAATACCCTCGTACAGGATAGCTGTCACAGAAGATGTTCAACGATTACCAATTGTTCATTGGTGCAAGAAATTGTAAATGCAAAATTCACTATGATATTTGTTGGGTTTTTTTTTTGTCCAAATTCAAATCCTGACTGACCATGAGCTGAACCAGCACATAGAGATTTCATCTCAGAACAGTCTGACCCTAACCCTAACCCTAACAGGAGAAGTAGCATCGACTCAGTAGTGCCACAAAAATATCATGTGGCATTGAAAAATTAGACTTCTGGTCTCCAAAATGTCTGAAATATTAAAGAAGTCAACTTTGATATAACATCAACAAAGCCAGCCGTCTGGTCCCTGACATCAACAAAACCAGCTGTCTGGTCCCTGACATCAACAAAGCCAGCCGTCTGGTCCCTGACATAAACAAAGCCAGCCGTCTGGTCCCTGACATCAACAAAGCCCGCCGTCTGGTCCCTGACATCAACAAAGCCATTCGTCTGGTCCCTGACATCAACAAAACCAGCCGTCTGGTCCCTGACATCAACAAAACCAGTTGTCTGGTCGCTGACATCAACAAAGCCAGCCGTCTGGTCCCTGACCTCAACTAAACCAGCCGTCTGGTCCCTGACATCAACAAAGCCCGCCGTCTGGTCCCTGACATCAACAAAGCCATTCGTCTGGTTCCTGACATCAACAAAACCAGTTGTCTGGTCGCTGACATCAACAAAGCCAGCCGTCTGGTCCCTGACATAAACAAAGCCAGCCGTCTGGTCCCTGACATCAACAAAGACATTCGTCTGGTCCCTGACATCAACAAAACCAGCCGTCTGGTCCCTGACATCAACAAAGCCATTCGTCTGGTCCCTGACATCAACAAAACCAGCCGTCTGGTCCCTGACATCAACAAACCCAGCCGTCTGGTCCCTGACATCAACAAAGCCATTCGTCTGGTCCCTGACATCAACAAAACCAGGTGTCTGGTCGCTGACATCAACAAAGCCAGCCGTCTGGTCCCTGACATCAACAAAGCCATTCGTCTGGTCCCTGACATCAACAAAACCAGTTGTCTGGTCGCTGACATCAACAAAGCCAGCCGTCTGGTCCCTGACATCAACTAAACCAGCCGTCTGGTCCCTGACATCAACAAAGCCAGCCGTCTGGTCCCTGACATCAACAAAACCAGCCGTCTGGTCCCTGACATCAACAAAGCCAGCCGTCTGGTCCCTGACATCAACAAAACCAGCCGTCTGGTCCCTGACATCAACAAAACCAGCCGTCTGGTCCCCGACATCAACAAAGCCAGCCGTCTGGTTATATTTACCGTAAGCCACCCTTTCCTTCATGTCCAGCCTTTGTATGACATCCTTCAGTACTGGATACATCAGCTCACTTTGTCTGGAATGATAAAAAACAACTTCTGGTAAAACAGGGCTCATACTGGCACACAATGAAAGCAGTCATAATAATCATGTGTCTGATATATTAAAGAGAATTAAGAACCAATTTTCAGTCTCCTAGGAATTGTAAATAAGCCAACTTGATAATTTGTGCTATCAATAATGCCAATGTTATGAAGGTTTGATATCATGGACTATGTCTATGTATGTTGAGCTAACTGTCAAGATCCACCAGTATACATGAACAGTATTTTAGTGAAAATCATGTGTTTGCAGAAATTTTCTGATTTTGTTGGATTTTCTATCTGTAACCGTTACAGAAATGATCAACAATACAGAGTATATTGACTCAGTATTATTATATTGACTCAGTATTATATTGACTCAGTATTTTATTGACTAAGTATTATATTGACTCAGTATTATATTGACTCTAGTATTATATTGACTCAGTATTATATTGACTCAGTATTATATTGACTATATTGACTCTATATTGACTCTATATTGACTCAGTATTATATTGACTCTAGTATTATATTGACTCAGTATTATATTGACTCAGTATTATTATGACTCAGTATTATTATATTGACTCTAGTATTATATTGACTCAGTATTATATTGACTCTAGTATTGTTATATTGACTCTAGTATTATATTGACTCAGTATTATATTGACTCAGTATTATAAGTATTATATTGACTCAGTATTATATTGACTCAGTATTATATTGACTCAGTATTATATTGACTCTAGTATTATATTGACTCAGTATTTTATTGACTAAGTATTTTATTGACTCAGTATTATATTGACTCTAGTATTATATTGACTCAGTATTATATTGACTCAGTATTATAAGTATTATATTGACTCAGTATTATATTGACTCAGTATTATATTGACTCAGTATTATATTGACTCAGTATTATAGGGTAAGGGTGAAATATTCTGATAAATTTTAATGTTGATTTCCCTCATTGTTTGTTCTGTGTTTTGTAATATTGGAAATACTCACTGTTCTGTAATTTACAAAAACAAGAGGCCCACGGGCCTGTATCACTCACCTGAATATTTAAGCAGTCATAGCAAAATATTCTCATTCAGTATTAAACTGTACTACAAATATTTCCCTCACAAACTTTATCGGCTCCATCCGTTGAAGCTACAAGCCAAATATTATTTTATGATTCTATGCTTTTTGGATCTTCTTCAGAAGTTGTTTGAAGTGTTTGACATATTTGTCCCTGTGACCTTGTAAGTAGGTGATATAGATCAAGGTCATTTTCCTTCTCAAACTTTGTTGGCTCTATCCCAAGAAGCTACAAACCAAATCTTATGAATCCATGCCTTTTGGTTCTTCAGAACAAATTTTCGTTTTCAAACTTTGTCAGACTCCTATCAACGAAGCTTTCAGCCAAATATCATGACTCTAAGCCTGTCCACTCTTCAGAAAAATTTGTTTAAAGGAAAGGTTGATGGACGACAACGGACGGATGACAGACGAAGGACAGACGACAGACACCGCACCATGACATAAAAGCTCACTTGCCCTTTGGGCAGGTGATCTAAAAATTGTAAATATCATAAACATGAATAAAGATGTGACAATAATTGAGAGAATGAATTGTATATGACCAGAACAGGACCTAGAAACTGTTCCAATCAATTCCCCTGAGTTTGAGCTGAGTGTATTTTATTGTACTTACTGTTTGTTGCCCATCCCAAGCTTGGCTAACGTCTTCAGAATGTCCATCTGTAGCCACGGCATGGGAACATTGTGGAACTCAAACTCCGACGGTAATCTGTTACTGACCACCTGACTCAGGATCCCAATCAGATTCTCGGTCAACTTGTGGGAATGACTTTGGTCATGACTCTATGGACATTGAGCAAAACAAAGCAGGGCTTCATTATAACACGTCATTGTTCATTCTTACAAGATCTAATTCAAGGGACATAACTCCTGAATCAGTGATTCAGTACGTCACCAGTGACCAATCTGCAGACTGACTGGAGAAAAGAGTAGGTATCATTGTTTAACCTAAGCAGTATTAAGGGTTAGGGTTATATATACAAATATAGGTGTGCATATTAATAATCAGGAATGCCATATTTCTAGTTTTGTCAGTGAATTCCTGAAGAAAACCCTCCTCAAGTAAAATCTTCTGATAGACAAAATAATCATTAGATAAACAAAATGGGTGTCATTGGTTCTGGTGGGTCAGTTGTGCTGGTTCCTAGGGTCAAGGAAGCACATTATTTGATTGGGTACTTTGCACATAGTTATGGCATGTGTTGGAGGGACAAACAAAGTGTTGGAGGGACAGACAAAGTGTTGGAGGGACAGACAAAGTGTTGGAGGGTACAGACAAAGTGTTGGAGTGACAGACAAAGTGTTGGAGGGTACAGACAAAGTATTGGAGGGACAGACAAAGTGCTGGAGGGTACAGACAAAGTGTTGGAGGGACAGACAAAGCAGCAGGCAAGATGGCAACCCATGAAGTCAAAGGAGGAGAATAGCAGATTATTGTGTAATTTCCGGCTATCTGTGATTTTTTTGTTTTCAGACCCCCTGCGGGCTATATCTAGTGGTGCGGGTCATCTGTTAATGTTTTTTACATAAATCGTCGATATCCTGTGGGCTATCTGTGGTGTAAAAATCAAATCAAATGGCAAAAAATTGTATCGCCAATCCCATCCATCGAAGTCTGAGGCCTCAGCCTCGCTCTAGAATAGTTCCATTTCCTCCCGGTCAAGTCGCGCTACTTCAGCTAGTGGAAGATCATCATCACTGTCCGAGTCCTGTGTATTATGTTAACTATCTCCACCTTGGCGATCTGAATAATGTTCGGGTCAACAGCTCGCCATGCTTCAAAAACCACTCGCTTCAGTATACAATGTATACATATAAGGCTATGTCAAAGGTCACGGGTATGCATCGATCAATACAGGTAACAGTGACGTATACAGATAGCACACACATGTGTGTTAGCCAATGAAGCATGCTGATAAGAGTAAACATATGTTAACAGAAATGTCCGCCGTAGAAGCCCTGGGTCATCTGTTAACATTGTTTACATATGCTGCTAATTTGAGGCTGTGCGGGCTATATGGTGTAGCGGGCTATCCACAGGAAATTATGGTAGTATTATAGGTAATAATAGAAAAGAATAAGACAGGAAACTATGTTTTCTTTTTGTAACTGATCAGGGTAAACTTCTCATTTATGTCAGAACATACAAATATTCTTTGATTTGTCAGTGTTTCTGTAAATTTAGATACAGATTATACTCTTAGAAAGAAAGTCCTGAGGCATATGATAGGGTTAGTGTACCAAGTGGTTTAAATCAGGAAAAAAACCTGAGGCTCACCAACGGTTTTGTCCAAATGCGGAAATCCAAAAATATGCCTTTTTCTATATATATATCTTACACTGACAGAAAAAACTCAAAAAGGATGAATGGATACCATTATGAAATGTGATCTTTTCTCTAAGCTTTTTGGACAAAAAGAACCCAGCCAGCGAGATTTAGTATATGTCAATTCACCTAATTTAGTTAGCACAATAGATGTACTTATACCATTATTTTATTTTCAATTGCCTCACGTTGCAGAATTGAACTGGAGTCTTTCTATTGTTACGTATCATTGTTGTCCCGTTGTGATATCATGGACGTACAACAGGGTCAAAATGGAATTTCATTCCTATATTTCTTGCCAGTTTTATCATCGATACATAGATATGTAAGAATATTCGTAGACTCACCTGTATGAGGACAGAGAAGATCTTCACACCTACACACTAGTGCTGGGAATCGTTTCGATTTTGAAGATCGATTATCAGACATTCAAGATCGATCGGTAATCAATTATTGGTTGAAATATGCGCCAAAAAGAATCCATTTAATAAATTGACATTTTGTCCAATCATTGAAAAACATCGATATAACTACGCGTTATTTTGCTGATAACTTTATCTAAGAGACGTTCATAAGATGAGAAAAGGTACTTGAGAAATTGACAATAGCCGATAGATTACAATTTGAGAAGTGAACATACCTTTTCCTATCTCCTGCAGACGAGTCATGGTGATAGTGATCGTAACACAAACGAATCAGGTTATGCATTTTGGGTCAAGTATCTATACATCTAATGTGACATCTATTAGTGTGAATTAAGTTAACCCATTTGAAATCATGTCAAACTGAGTTGGTACTGTATAGTTTATGTCCCACCATCCCTTCGCTGAAAAAGAAATTGTTTTCATTCCGGTTTGCCGCCATTTAATTTGCCGTATTTCGGTATTTCAACAGTTTTAAGTTTAGTCGTACCTACAAAAAACTGCATTGGCCTTGATTACGTTTGATGCTATAGAATCGACCTCATGTCAAGCTCAATTTAATCAATGTTTCGGTTATTGGTACACCACTACTACACACATATGAATGAGAGATCACCTGTCGACTCACCTGTATGAGGACAGGACAGAGTAGATCTTCACAGCTACACACATATGAATGTGAGATCACCTATGGACTCACCTGTATGAGGACGGAGTAGATCTTCACAGCTACACACATATGAATGAGAGATCACCTGTCGACTCACCTGTATGAGGACGGAGTAGATCTTCACAGCTACACACATATGAATGTGAGATCACCTATCGACTCACCTGTATGAGGACAGAGTAAATCTTCACAGCTACACACATATGAATAAGAGATCACCTGTCGACTCACCTGTATGAGGACAGAGTAGATCTTCACCCCTACACACATATGAATGAGAGATCACCTGTCCACTCACCTGTATGAGGACAGGACAGAGCAGATCTTCACAGCTACACACATATGAATGAGAGGTCACCTGTCGACTCACCTGTATGAGGACAGAGTAGATCTTCACACCTACACACATATAAATGAGAGATCACCTGTCCACTCACCTGTATGAGGACAGGACAGAGTAGATCTTCACAGCTACGCACATATGAATGAGAGATCACCTGTCGACTCACTGTGTGAGGACAGAGTAGATCTTCACAGCTACAAACATATGAATGAGAGATCACCTGTCGTCTCACCTGTATGTGGACAGAGTAGATCTTCACTGCTACGCACATATGAATGAGAGATCACCTGTGGACTCACCTGTATGAGGACAGAGTAGATCTTCACCCCTACACACATATGAATGAGAGATCACCTGTCGACTCACCTGTATGAGGACAGAGTAGATCTTCACAGCTACGCACATATGAATGAGAGATCACCTGTCGACTCACCTGTGTGAGGACGGAGTAGATCTTCACGCCTACACACACATGAATGAGAGATCACCTGTCCACTCACCTGTATGAGGACGGAGTAGATCTTCACTCCAACAGACATCACACCAGGATCCTTATCAAACAGAATTCTCTGGAACTGGTCCTGGAAATGGTCAACCATGGACGGCGTCTTCAGCAGGAATTTATGCACACACATAGCAGCCTTCATCCTCACCAGCTCTCTATATCAACAAGCATTCTATGGGTATTGATGAATCAATACATGTCCCCTACCGGCCCCCAAAACTTTAACCTTCAGATTTTGGCCAAGATAGTTAAGTTGAAAACATGTCAAATATTCAAAATAAATAAATTTATTTTTCCACTGTCATTAAATAACATTAATGCTAGATGCCTAAAGAACCTGTGTACATAAAATCAGCATCCTAACACTATTATTAAGTGAATGGTGAGCCATTACAAAACTTTAACCCAAACTTTAACCTGCAGATTTTGGCGGAGATAGTTAAGTGAAAAACATGTCAAAAATTGAAAAAATATATCCATTTTCAATCCACAGTATTAATGCTGGACCCCTATAGAACCTTTATGCAAATAATCAACATCCTAACATCATTATTAAGTGTATGGTAACCCATTACAAAACTTTAACCAAAACCTTAACCAAAGGTAACGGACGGACGGAGACAAAACCTATAGCCCCCCCGGTTTCACCGGTAGTGGACTAAAAATAGACTCTCTTTGTAAACTCTAACCTCTCGCTGTCATACACAGAATTCTCTATGTCACCTTGATAAAATACCAGACAGTTCTTAAAACTTGGTAAGAGACACTTTTCTTTAACTCATTCTGTATAGCCCCAGACTAGTAAACCAGCTGGAGACATTGAGCCTTCGACTCGTACTGGAGACATTGAGCCTTCGACTCGTACTGGAGACATTGAGCCTTCGACTCGTACTGGAGACATTGAGCCTTCGACTCGTACTGGAGACATTGAGCCTTCGACTCGTACTGGAGACATTGAGCCTTCGACTCGTACTGGAGACATTGAGCCTTCGACTCGTACTGGAGACATTGAGCCTTCGACTCGTACTGGAGACATTGAGCCTTCGACTCGTACTGGAGACATTGAGCCTTCGACTCGTACTGGAGACATTGAGCCTTCGACTCGTACTGGAGACATTGAGCCTTCGACTCGTACTGGAGACATTGAGCCTTCGACTCGTACTGGAGACATTGAGCCTTCGACTCGTACTGGAGACATTGAGCCTTCGACTCGTACTGGAGACATTGAGCCTTCGACTCGTACTGGAGACATTGAGCCTTCGACTCGTACTGGAGACATTGAGCCTTCGACTCGTACTGGAGACATTGAGCCTTCGACTCGTACTGGAGACATTGAGCCTTCGACTCGTACTGGAGACATTGAGCCTTCGACTCGTACTGGAGACATTGAGCCTTCGACTCGTACTGGAGACATTGAGCCTTCGACTCGTACTGGAGACATTGAGCCTTCGACTCGTACTGGAGACATTGAGCCTTCGACTCGTACTGGAGACATTGAGCCTTCGACTCGTACTGGAGACATTGAGCCTTCGACTTGTACTGGAGACATTGAGCCTTCGACTCGTACTGGAGACATTGAGCCTTCGACTCGTACTGGAGACATTGAGAAAATAATGATCTCTGTTACAATGATGCCCACTTATAATTAAGGACTCGAGAGATTCACAAAAATACTCAAAAATACATTCAAGAGAATTGCTATAACCCCAAAAAACTTGAAAGTTTTCTCCTGGAGGGGGAGTTTGTCACCCTGGAAAAATAAGACCCACTTGCCATAGACTTGGCTAGCTGATTTGGTAGTAGAGCGCCAGACTAGTAAACCTGCAGAAGTCCCAGGTTCTTACTCTATTATTCTCTAAATGAGAAACAAGGTTTCTGATTCCTTCCTTTTATACAGAATTCTCTACATGAAAAGAAGAGACCGTCTTACCCCTATTTAGATACCCAAAATTATATACATAAGAAATACCAGACAAGTTTAATTGATGTGTTATTTCCGTGCTCAGAGCACAAGTACATTATTCATGGACTGTTAATTTGTCAGTATCTTAACCACAGCATGAACTGCCCAACTTTCACTTTCCGATACTTAAAGTTAGAGTTTTCTCAGGCTGCCTACTTTCGTTTTCCAGTAACTTTACCTTGGATGTTTGAGTTTTTCCTGGACTAGAGGTAACACGCTAGGGATCATCTCCGAGTTGACCAGCTGGCAGATTACAGTCAGTGCTGCACAGTTGTCTAAGATGTTACTACTGTTCAAATCCTGAAATAAAATTAAGTAATATTGTACATTATACTGTTAATGTTAAAATAACCTTGTCCTGGGAAAACATATCATTTTCTTGATCATACATATATCAAGTTTTAAGGTTACTCTATAGATTGCAATTTTCTTCCTGTTGATTAAATTGGTATGACTTCTGAAATGTAAACACTGTGTAAAATCAAATTTAAAGGGACTGACTTTGACATGAACAGACAGGTCTTTTTTCCCCCCAAAATGGTGCATTATTATATATTTAGGGTATTCGTACAGGACAAAAAGGAAACTGATGTCTTTGAGATATAGAAATTAAAGATACATCTAATTTTGTACAAACAGACGGTGAAATGGCAATAGCACAGACATAATGCTTTTCATCATTGTACAAGTAACTAGTGAGACTATTTAATGTATCAAGGTTGTACAGATATTAAGTATAAGAGTCTATCTGCCCACAGATGTATTTCTTGACAGCAATGAAAAGCAGTGAAGAAAGCTCATTTAGATTTGTATTCAACATATTGACCCATTTCTGCATTTGAAGACTTTGAAGGTAATAAAATAATGATAGTTCTTGTAATCAAAGGGACATATGACTGTAACATACCTTCTGTATTGTGTTGATCAGCAGCAGAATCAACTCATGGTTTTCATTCAGTAACAAAGAACAGGCAAGGTATCCTGCAGATTAAACAAAAGGTTGGAAGTATTACACCGCCATAAAAATGTTTTAAAACAAATTTAAATTGACATGTATTTCAAATAAAAGAAAGCATAATAAAGGCGATACCTGTTACCCATTTAACATAGTGTACGCCTGTCAAGGGTGGAAATTGAACCACAGAAATAGTTTTTACTTAAGTGTCTATCTTTTACACCATGACAGAATATCAGTAGTGATATTTCTTAATGTGTGAGATATCATTTTTATTAATTATCAAATGGATTATCAATTGTTTTGTATTCAATACAAGCTAAACAGAGAAATATTGTGATTTAAACAACTTGTCTCAATTTTTCATTTAGGTTTAGCTCATATAAAAATGAAACTCATGTAATATCTTTTATATTTAACAAAAAGACAATGTAGCTATATTTATACAGTAAACATTTGTTGTAAAGGGTATATAAGTTTCCAGATATCAAATTGCTAGTTATACAGTAAACATTTGTTGTAAGGGGTATATAAGTTTCCAGATATCAAATTGCTAGTTATACAGTGAACGTTTGTTGTATAGGGTATATAAGCTTCCAGATATCAAATTGCTAGTTATACAGTGAACGTTTGTTGTAAGGGGTATATAAGTATCCAGATATCAAATTGCTACAGTTATACAGTAAACATTTCTTGTAAAGGGTATATAAGTTTCCAGATATCAAATTGCTAGTTATACAGTGAACGTTTGTTGTATAGGGTATATAAGCTTCCAGATATCAAATTGCTAGTTATACAGTGAACGTTTGTTGTATAGGGTATATAAGCTTCCAGATATCAAATTGCTAGTTATACAGTGAACGTTTGTTGTATAGGGTATATAAGTTTCCAGATATCAAATTGCTAGTTATACAGTGAACGTTTGTTGTATAGGGTATATAAGCTTCCAGATATCAAATTGCTAGTTATACAGTGAACGTTTGTTGTATAGGGTATATAAGTTTCCAGATATCAAATTGCTAGTTATACAGTGAACGTTTGTTGTATAGGGTATATAAGCTTCCAGATATCAAATTGCTAGTTATACAGTGAACGTTTGTTGTATAGGGTATATAAGCTTCCAGATATCAAATTGCTAGTTATACAGTGAACGTTTGTTGTATAGGGTATATAAGTTTCCAGATATCAAATTGCTAGTTATACAGTGAACGTTTGTTGTATAGGGTATATAAGTTTCCAGATATCAAATTGCTACAGTTATACAGTCAACATTTGTTGTGTAGGGTATATAAGTATCCAGATATCAAATTGCTACAGTTATACAGTAAACATTTGTTGTAAGGGGTATATAAGTTTCCAGATATCAAATTGTTACAGTTATACAGTAAACATTTGTTGTAAGGGGTATACAAGTTTCCAGATATCAAATTGCTACAGTTATACAGTAAACATTTGTTGTAAGGGGTATACAAGGTTCCAGATATCAAATTGCTACAGTTATACTGTAAACATTTGTTGTAAAGGGTATATAAGTTTCCAGATATCAAATTGCTACAGTTATCATTTGAATAAGAAAAGTTAGACCTGCTTACCAAGTCTCTTCTCAAATCCTGTGCCCTGCTGCGCCAGTTTGACAGCATGGATGTATACAGATGATAGGTCGTAGCCGAGGAGTTCACAGTAAATGGCCCGGCACAGACAGTCACTTGTCTGCTGCTGTAGTCCAGCCATACAAACAGAGGACATGATCAAACATAAGGAAGCACTACCCCTATATAAATGTTAGGGTACATACCCTATATAACCCTAACCCACCATACAAACAGAGGACATGATCAAACATAAGGAAGCACTACCCCTATATAAATGTTAGGGTATATAACCCTATATAACCCTAACCCACCATACAAACAGAGGACATGATCAAACATAAGGAAGCACTACCCCTATATAAATGTTAGGGTATATAACCCTATATAACCCTAACCCACCATACAAACAGAGGACATGATCAAACATAAGGAAGCACTACCCCTATATAAATGTTAGGGTATATAACCCTATATAACCCTAACCCACCATACAAACAGAGGACATGATCAAACATAAGGAAGCACTACCCCTATATAAATGTTAGGGTATATAACCCTATATAACCCTAACCCACCATACAAACAGAGGACATGATCAAACATAAGGAAGCACTACCCCTATATAAATGTTAGGGTATATAACCCTATATAACCCTAACCCACCATACAAACAGAGGACATGATCAAACATAAGGAAGCACTACCCCTATATAAATGTTAGGGTATATAACCCTATATAACCCTAACCCACCATACAAACAGAGGACATGATCAAACATAAGGAAGCACTACCCCTATATAAATGTTAGGGTATATAACCCTATATAACCCTAACCCACCATACAAACAGAGGACATGATCAAACATAAGGAAGCACTACCCCTATATAAATGTTAGGGTATATAACCCTATATAACCCTAACCCACCATACAAACAGAGGACATGATCAAACATAAGGAAGGACTACCCCTATATAAATGTTAGGGTATATAACCCTATATAACTCTAACTCACTATACAAACAGAGGACATGATCAAACATAAGGAAGCACTACCCCTATATAAATGTTAGGGTTTATAACCCTATATAACCCTAACCCCCCATATAAACAGAGGACATGATGAAACATAAGGAAGCACTACCCTATATAAATGTTCCTTTATCAATTACTTCAGCATCTTATTCGCAAAATATTTGAGTAGAAGCTTTTTTCCCGATTTTCAGCCTCAAAAAGTACCTGCGCAAATTACACAGGTGCGCAAATTATATGGGTTTTACGGTACTTTCCGTAAATGCTGCAAATTATATACAAGCAACAATTTCGTTTTATTTCACAAGGAAGTGTTACTTTAACCATTTTCAAATTGTCTTAAGTATCTATAATATAATTATGTAATGCATATAAATAAATAGATCTTTAGAAAAGAAGTTTTTTCAGTAAAGTCATGGAACTAGATAAATTGGCAGCGTTTTTTCCCCTATCATTGCTACATATTTAATTTTTCCTGAGCCATATATGATACAATCAGACATTACCTTGGTGGTGTCTCACAACCAGACATTACCTTGGTGGTATCTCACAACCTGACATTACCTTGGTGGTGTCTCACAATCAGACATTACCTTGGTGGTGTCTCACAACTAGACATTACCTTGGTGGTGTCTCATAACCAGACATTACCTTGGTAGTGTCTCACAACCAGACATTACCTTGGTGGTGTCTCGTAGTGCCAGCCTCTGCTGCATCTCAACAATTTCATGTCGAACGATGTGTTCTTCCTCCTGTAAACAAATATTTATTGCATCATAATTTTGATGAAGAAAAAGCAATTTCAATCAGAGCACATTGCCTCTGTGTTTAAACATGGGATCATTTACTAGGCCAGCTACCAGATCTGATGTATAAAGTCGGTTGTATGTACAGTTCCCTACAGACATATTTAAACATAATCACACTTAAAGTGATCAATGTTTTGTGATTTTTTAAGAACTTTCTTGTTTTTTAATTGTGGTCTAATGTCAGGTCACAACAACTAGGGTTGTAGGTCTAATGTCCTCACAACAACTAGGGTTGTAGGTCTCATGTCTTTACAACAACTAGGGTTGTAGGTCTAATGTCCTCACAACAACTAGGGTTGTAGGTCTAATTTCCTCACAACAACTAGGGTTGTAGGTCTAATGTCCTCACAACAACTAGGGTTGTAGGTCTAATGTCCTCACAACAACTAGGGTTGTAGGTCTAATGTCCTCACAACAACTAGGGTTGTAGGTCTAATGTCCTCACAACAACTAGGGTTGTAGGTCTAATGTCCTCACAACAACTAGGGTTGTAGGTCTAATGTCCTCACAACAACTAGGGTTGTAGGTCTAATGTCCTCACAACAACTAGGGTTGTAGGTCTAATGTCCTCACAACAACTAGGGTTGTAGGTCTAATGTCCTCACAACAACTAGGGTTGTAGGTCTAATGTCCTCACAACAACTAGGGTTGTAGGTCTAATGTCCTCACAACAACTAGGGTTGTAGGTCTAATGTCCTCACAACAACTAGGGTTGTAGGTCTAATGTCCTCACAACAACTAGGGTTGTAGGTCTAATGTCCTCACAACAACTAGGGTTGTAGGTCTAATGTCCTCACAACAACTAGGGTTGTAGGTCTAATGTCCTCACAACAACTAGGGTTGTAGGTCTAATGTCCTCACAACAACTAGGGTTGTAGGTCTAATGTCCTCACAACAACTAGGGTTGTAGGTCTAATGTCCTCACAACAACTAGGGTTGTAGGTCTAATGTCCTCACAACAACTAGGGTTGTAGGTCTAATGTCCTCACAACAACTAGGGTTGTAGGTCTAATGTCCTCACAACAACTAGGGTTGTAGGTCTAATGTCCTCACAACAACTAGGGTTGTAGGTCTAATGTCCTCACAACAACTAGGGTTGTAGGTCTAATGTCCTCACAACAACTAGGGTTGTAGGTCTAATGTCCTCACAACAACTAGGGTTGTAGGTCTAATGTCCTCACAACAACTAGGGTTGTAGGTCTAATGTCCTCACAACAACTAGGGTTGTAGGTCTAATGTCCTCACAACAACTAGGGTTGTAGGTCTAATGTCCTCACAACAACTAGGGTTGTAGGTCTAATGTCCTCACAACAACTAGGGTTGTAGGTCTAATGTCCTCACAACAACTAGGGTTGTAGGTCTAATGTCCTCACAACAACTAGGGTTGTAGGTCTAATGTCCTCACAACAACTAGGGTTGTAGGTCTAATGTCCTCACAACAACTAGGGTTGTAGGTCTAATGTCCTCACAACAACTAGGGTTGTAGGTCTAATGTCCTCACAACAACTAGGGTTGTAGGTCTAATGTCCTCACAACAACTAGGGTTGTAGGTCTAATGTCCTCACAACAACTAGGGTTGTAGGTCTAATGTCCTCACAACAACTAGGGTTGTAGGTCTAATGTCCTCACAACAACTAGGGTTGTAGGTCTAATGTCCTCACAACAACTAGGGTTGTAGGTCTAATGTCCTCACAACAACTAGGGTTGTAGGATTAATGCCCTCACAACAACTAGGGTTGTACATCTAATGTCCTCACAACAACTAGGGTTGTAGGTCTAATGTCGTCACAACAACTAGGGTTGTAGGTCTAATGCCCTCACAACAACTAGGATTGTAGGTCTAATGTCCTCACAACAACTAGGATTGTTGTTACCGAAGGATAGAAAGCTGAGGAAAAGAAATAGTTAAAGGAAGAAAAAAGAAAATTTTAAAGAAATGACAATCATCTGTTAATATCACTGAAAAGTTCTCAAGATTTACATGCAAATAAAATAAATGAACTTACTAACTCTAGACACAATAAAATCAGCAACTAATTTCCCCCTAGATTCTATTTATTTCTTTTTTTTATTTAGACAGGAACCTATTTCAGTGTAAGTTATAAGATGGTCCACTGAGCCAAATTAATATTAAATTTAATGCCAACTGACCGTACCAGCCCCTTATGGATTTGTTTGGTTTTAAATCATAATCATATGTACACTTGTTTTCTGAAGTACTTTTGCAGATGTTTTTCTATTTGTAATCTAATCTCATAAAAGTTTAATACTGTATAGCAGTTATATTTTGCAGGGGTTTTAATTTCATTAAATTTGCCCTTTGACTAATATCCGCAAATTCTAAACACCAATGAAATTATCGAAAATGTTAACCACTTTTACGGACCTTATCACAACATATCGAAAATACCTTTAACCCAACGCTGTTATGCAAGCTTAAATGAACTCAACCAGATTAACACCGGACAACTGGGCAGACCATGCATAAACAACACTTACATATAAGTGGTCACAACATATTTATGTGTACAGTAGGTGATTAATTGATCACAGTTTACTCCTACAAAGGTACATACATATTTTATTTTATTTCGAGTGAAGTCACTGGTGGATGACAATGCTCGGGATCAGTGTTTCCAAACGGTGTTTCCTGTATTTCGAGGTTTAACCCTTAAATGATGACACTCAAAATACTTTGCACGACACATGGGATTCCGGTGCACAGCAAAATGTAACCCCCGCGAATATGTACGGAATACGAGACAGTACATTGTAGTAAAAAAGCTACTTTTCGGCATTTCTTTGAATAAAACAGTTTCTGTAAAAAACTAACTTCTTCCTTCACTGACATGGGTAGAGAAAATGTCTCTTTAGCTCATGTGATAGAGCATCAGACTAGTAATTGAGTAAAACAGAAGTCTTGGGTTTTACGCTTCATTGAGGCATTGAAAAAATAGACAATTTGTTACATGTGAATTTACTTCAAATTAGTGCTGACAAAGAAACCAGGAAAATATTGACAAAAATATGTATGTTTACAAGGAACTTTTAAACCACAGAATTAGATTAGATGCTATCTAAGTCCTTGCTTTAACCTCTTGAAAACTGTGGACGAGTTCTTTCCCTGAGGGGGAGTATTCACCCTGGTTAATACTAGCTGCTTTCTATGAATTTGGCTAGTGATATATTTCTATTTAGCTCATCTAGTGTAGTTTCATACTAGGCTGTAGGGTCCCAGACTCGACCCCTATTGGAGGCATTGAAAAAATAATGACGCCTGTTTCATGTGAATTTACTTGTTTCACATCATTTGCCTCGGCAACCTAACAAGCGTTACAACAAACCTTTGGTATGTGAAACAGGAGAAAGAGAAATGCAACCGCTAGATCAGGTTAGAACCTAGGACCCTGCAAGTTCTAGATGGACACTCTACCCATTTAGCTACTAATGGAGCTACCTGGTCACCGACGATCGACCCAGTCACCTGGTTGATCACATAAAGTCCCAGACTTCTAAAGGTCTCTTCACTGGAATGGTTTTACTAGACCTACAGAAGGCCTTTGATACAGTTGACCATGGGATTTTGTGTGATAAACTTGGTGTAATTGGCATTGAGTCGGTGGAGTGGTTCACATCATACCTTACCAACAGAAAACAATTAGTCAATATCAATAATGTGAACTCGGGTATTTGTAATATAACATGCGGGGTACCCCAAGGGAGTTTATTGGGACCGCTTCTTTTTCTCATATATGTAAATGACATGCGGATCAGTATTGACCCAGGATGCAAATTATTTCTGTACGCAGATGACAGTGCAATTATCTTCTCGCACAAAGACCCAAAAATTATTTCAAAATTTCTATCGAAAAACTTAGAGTCATGTCACGATTGGCTAACAGATAACAAATTATCCTTACATCTTGGAAAAACAGAGAGTATTTTGTTTGGCCCCAAAAGGAAACTTTCCAAATTACCTGAAGGCTCATTTTCTGTTTCGTGTTACGGTAATATAATTATGCCTCAGGTGTGTGTCAAATATCTTGGTATTATATTGGACAACTTTCTATCTGGAGAACAAATTGTCCAAA